CGATGGGGTACTCGCAGAGGACATGGTAGTCAGGGTCTGTTTATAAATTGTAAGTGTAGGAATGATTGTTGTTTTTATACATGTACTGCAAGTTACTGACCGGGAGAACGGTGCAGAAGTACCCAGGAAGGTTGCTGTTATTATAGTTCGGGTTATTCGTCGTTTGTGTAAGGACTGTTGTTGTCGAGACGCTGTGAGACGCGTCGAAGGGGGTGAATTTTAGTTTTATTTTATTTAGCGGGTATTGATAGACAAGATAGTTAGTAAGTGGTTAGAATAGGCCTAATTGCCGATCTCAGCTACTGCAGGCACAGTGAGGGTAGCCGTAAAGATGTCCAAGGAATCAGATAGTGTTAGGCCCAAGGTAGCTGCGGTAGGAAGGGATATTTTGATCCCCGTGCCTGGCTCGCTAGAATCTAAGTTACTGGGGCCCCCTGTACTTCTACCACCCTCCAATGGAGGTGGGACAATAGACAGTCCGAGTGAGCGGTTGAAGGCCCAGAAACATTACACAGAATAGTGTATTCATCACAAATGATGGGGATGACTTAAAAGACCCACATAGCTCAGTTGCAAATAAAAGCCCTCTCTTTAGAAGAAAACCATATTGAGACCTACAATGCAAACTGCTAATATATCTTTTTTATCAATCATAATCTAATACTATTGTAGTGTATGTCTTTTTTGCTCATGCATATGGATCTCCTAATAAGGATACACTTGCTGTCATCGGACAGAGAGAGCTAGGGAAGCGGCCTTGGGGCCATGCAGTACCGTCTTCAAGAAACTCTTCAGACAAGGGTATCAGTGAGTCTGAGCCAACAATATTCACTAGTGCGCTAACTCTCAAACGACCCTCACTTGCATTGTTTCAAAATTGAGACAACAACAGCAAAAAACAATAGAAAATGGCTGCAAAATCCAACCATCTAAGCTGAACCTGCCCCCACTGAGCCAGTGGCACAGTCCCCGAAGTCTGGGTTTCCAAGAGGCAGGACAGCTGAATGAAATACACCTAAAAATAACAACCATAATTTGAGTTGGCTGAATGATCTGCCACAAGCTAATCACTTCAGTAATGATTATTAACAATTTGCTGTGTCACCAATGTTTACAAACGACCAGTTTAAAGTTTGAATTTTTATAATGGTCTTTTCTGTCTCCTGTGCACAGCTGCTGGTGTTCTATACAGGATGGTCCCCGTCTCACAGCGGATCCACGGTGTTTGATGTTCATCTCAGGGGTAGCTGTATAGGAAACACGAATATAAGAATTAGTACCGAAATCCTTAGACCAGACAACACGTTAGAATTTTTTTCTCTTTTTTTCATATTTATTCATCAATAAACATACAATATACAATGTAGTGAACCATCCCATTACCTAATATGTAATAATAATAATCATAATGATGAAATAATAACAATAATAATTCAATTCATATCTGATGGTAGAAGTAGTTTTTTGTATCCAAGAAAAGTCTACCGGAGGCAGTTGCTATCTCGGTGTAGCTTAACCATGCATTTTTTCGGTTCCTAACATTTTTCAAATGTACGGATACTTCCATACACAAACAACACCAATAAAATGAATGTACTGTAACACAAATCGTCATCCAACACGTAAACAAGATAATCCATCACAGATGTCAGCGACCGCGGCCAGGTTATGCCATTTTTGTCCATTAGAGTTAAAATTGGCCTTCTTGTAATCAACAGTGTTACGTTTTCTACAATAAAAAAAACTAGATATTTTTTCTCGTGACCAAAGGTTTGGGGCAAACTGATTATTGGTGACGAGACACATTCCACAAACTGCCGTACACACACTGTGTACCCTAGAAAGCCATAGTACAGCGAGTCGCGGCTGGTTTCTTCTCGGCCCGCCTAGCACCTTTGCCCGCGAAACACGATCCAGCCGGACAGCTAAACTACTCTGGCCGGTAGGATCGTGTTTCGCGGGTAAAGGTGCTTGGCGGCCCGAGAAGAAACCAGCCGCGACCCGCTGTACTATGGCTTTCCAGGGTACACACTGTGCGGCTCAAATAAACCAGCAGAATCAATCGACTTTGCTTGGCAACAACTTGTCCACGTCTACGTACGAGTAACCGTAACATCCTTAGAATTTATTCTACGTAAGTTGTCGATCACAGAAATGACAATTCAGAACACAAAAGACCTGAAATTGCAGCACCTACCTCACACCACCGCCCTTCCTCTCCAACTGAACCTGGGTGCGGTCGTGCGACAAGGATTTTTCTGCGTATATCCATCCGCCACGGGACTGTTCAGCTTAAAACGAACGTAACCGTATCAATGAACCAAACTACGGCAAACACCATAATAATTTTATAAACTACACAGATTTAGCACAATCTGGAAATAATGCCAATAGTTTAAAAACGAACACTTTTAACTCGGTGTTTTGTCATTGTACGCACTACTTTCTGTCGGCACTTGTGTACATCCTGTCTGAGGACGATATGCGGTGGCGTGGCCCAGCGAGGCTCACTTTAAGGTTCTAACAAAGATCTCAATGCATATTAACCAGTTTGCTTAAAGCCTCGGGTTCCTTGCCCTGGGTAAGCCATAAATTAATAAATCAATAAAATACTTCACACTGTGTCCTGGAACGACTTCTAGGGGCTAAATAGACTCCTAACATCATAAATGGATTTGAACACCGTGGGGAGTCCTGTGCCCGGAAACAAAAGCACGTGGTAGAAATCTGCTTGTCAGAAAAAAACCCTGCCGGTTTTCTGTTTTGCTTTGTTTTAGGCAGGGAACGTGTGCTTGAGTTTGAGTCGCCTGGCAGCTGTCGGCAGTCTGGTGCGGTCACCGATACCCCGCGCGTCCGTCAATGAACAAATAGGAGGGAGATTCGGATTTGATCAAGCAGCGATTTGCGCTCGCGCAACGTGAAGTATATTGTAAATACACCATTTTCAGTGACGCTTACTTGCGCCATTGCCCCAGAATTTTTGAACATCAAACTATCTGGGGAAAATGTTACCAGCTCGCCTTGTGCCGACGCTACGTACGTACTGCGTACAGGCACTCCGCCGAACGCCATTTGACCTTTGGTGACGTAGCAAAGAAAACACAAACAAACCCTTGCACATGTCACGGGCGCCATGTTGGATTTTCTCCGGGTTTCGAAAATTTGGTCCACAATGCTGCTCATCGATGGCAGAAGCACGGCAAGAACCTTCCTTTGTGTGTTAGAAATTACTCCTGGTTCATTTGTGGGCATTCTGACGAGATATTTTGCCGCGCCAGAGCAATTCGTACTTCGTCCGGTCCCGATCCAAGTGTTCGGTGTTTTTCTACTAGTGTTATATAATTTTGTAGTAGGAGACACGACGCCATGGCGATCAAATAATTTACTTCTAGCTTCTTTGGAAGTTATTTGACGTGTCGATTCCCCAGTTCGTGGTTCAGCAAGGAGATCTTGTGGAGTAACAATCGCAGGTAGGTCCAAACTGATATGTTTTGAAAAAAAAATGAGTCCGGAAGGAAAATTTGATGAGGGAGGGTACTGTAGCCTTGCAGTTTGGGTATGCTAGTTTTCGATGCTATACGAAAACCGTTTGGCAAATTATATTATGTTGTAAATATAGTATATTGTTCGGCCGTTTTAGGAACATAGTTGAACAGTACTAGTATATTGTACGATGTCTGTAAGTTATTTTTGCGTATACTTTTTGTGTACAACACTACATAAAGTGTTACTTTTGTATGTTGGACGTTACAACATACCGCCATTCCGCCACACATCAAGAGCAAGAAGATTATGTGTTCTTTCTTTGTGGTCTGCCCATGTCAGCATTCGGTAACAACAATAAAAAAAAGTTGGTGAAAATGTAACGTTAAAATCACATCAGCAGAGGTGAGAAGTTGTCATGTATATATTTTGACTAATTTTGACAGTCATTACCATTTTCTAGAAAAACAAAACAGAACAAAAAACAAGAAGCACCACAATAAGTTCCTTTGTCATGTGTTTGCTGGTGCTGTGTAGTTTTCCATTTCCCCATTTTAAAAATTACTTTAGTTCTAGAGTTGAAAGAAAAAATCATAACCAATTGAAGATAAGAATAAGTACATATGACATTGACAGGACCAGGCTGACAGAAGCAGTGGGGTCACCTATGAGCCTACAATATGAAGTTCAACTTCAAGGTAGGGAAACTCTCCACAGCTATTACTGTTGGTTTAGACACATTAGAAAGTAATAGTAATACAGTAGTACTAGTACACTGTAACTGTTTTCTTGTACAACCATCCATTGCTTGGCATACATGAGGTCAGACTATTTACATTTGTACATCTCCACAAAAAATACTATGTGTCTCCAGTAGCAAACAAGAACCTCTGGTCGCATAAGAATGATGGGAAGTTCATATGATGTGCACAGTACATGGTTAGACAATATCGTGTAATGAACAGTAACAATATATACAGTTTGAAAGTTCAAAGTACAGTAACAGCATGGTGGAAACCTGGACTTCACCAGTAACAATATACACAGTTTGAAAGTTCAAAGTACAGTAATAGCATGGTAGAAACCTGGACTTCACCAAGTAACAATATATACAGTTTGAAAGTTCAAAGTACAGTAATAGCATGGTAGAAACCTGGACTTCACCAAGTAACAATATATACAGTTTGAAAGTTCAAAGTACAGTAATAGCATGGTAGAAACCTGGACTTCACCAAGTAACAATATATACAGTTTGAAAGTTCAAAGTACAGTAGTAATAGCATGGTAGAAACCTGGACTTCACCAGTAACAATATATACAGTTTGAAAGTTCAAAGTACAGTAATAGCATGGTAGAAACCTGGACTTCACCAGTAACAATATATACAGTTTGAAAGTTCAAAGTACAGTAATAGCATGGTAGAAACCTGGACTTCACTAAGGTTTGTGTACAGTTACTCTTTTCTTGTAACCAAAAAGGTCCAGGGTTGGACAAGTTTAGAAATACTCATGTCATGTCTAGTCCTCATCCGAGGAACAGTCGGTGCCTGAGTCACTGTCACGGATGTTCTCGTCATCTTCCTGTGCAGGATGCCGACGGGGGGGCTCGGGCAGACCATTCCTGGAGCGCACTGTGTCCAGGAAGCACTTCTGGATCTCCTGCACGAACCGGTACGTCTTGGCCTTTAGGTTCTTGCTGCCTGCCCTCTGCCGAGGATTGGCCACAGTTTGTCTGCTGTAGACAGAGGTCGCTTCCCGATCCACATTCTCATTCTGTGAATAAATCAACAAGACATATTATTAGTCACAGCATTTCTATTACTGCATGATAATGTAATACCATGACTCCTAGGTTCAAGTTGAGTTTTGCACATGATTTATGATTATAGATGAAGCTTTAAACTACTCCTGCAGTTAGATCATAAATTGTGCAAAGGTTGGGTGTAACATTATTGTAAGGTTATTCGGTGTAATGTAGCCAGTTGCCACTGCGCCGCGTGCCTGGGAAGCTGGTGCGTTATGTCAAAGGGTAGCTATTATCTGCTACATGTATACTGATACAGATAAATGTTTGAATTACTTTTAAATACAGTAGATGTGAATGAGTTATGAATAGCTTTGACGGTATATAATGGAGTTTGATGTGTTATTAATCATTAATGACGTACCCAGTCCAATATGGCCAGGCCCATCCTGGTTGTGTAGTTCATGGTACCAAACACAATACGCTTGTCTACATATTGCAGACAAGCGTTGTTAAAGCTCTCCACATACAGTGTGTCCTTGCACTGCAAAAACAGAAAAAAGACATATAGACTTGATTGTATGCATGGATGACATACCCATGTAGATTGTCATCAACCCCCCCCCCCCCGAATCTACCAGAACTACAGAAGGGAAGCTCTTTTTGGAATTAACATTTGGCAGTGCCCCATGTTGGATATTGCCTGGCCAATTTGGAGAATACAAGAACCAAGTCTGTTGATACTAAAATGAAATACTAAAATGAAAATATGTAGGTACCAGGTATGTATTTCTTTTCCTGAATTCTTCTCTTACTTGTAGCTTTTTGCTGTCTTCAGTGTAAGTAGGTACCAGGTATGTGTTTCTTTTGCATTCATACAGAGCCTTAGCCTGATTACCGAATCTATTATAGCTCCTGAGTCCTACAGCCTCTCCGCAAATAGGTCTGGACCTGCTTGCGGAGAGACTGTAGGACTCGCGAGCTATAATAGGTTTGGTAATCAGGCTAAGAGAGCCTGTCACCCAGTATTGATTCTGCATTTCTTACTTTCTACTGGATTGACTAAACTGTAATTCTGTTCTCATACCAGTACGTAATCCTCGGCATGTCTGTAGATGTCTTGCTGCGTTATGAATTTCCTCAGCATCTCCACAGCCACACTGTCGGTGATGATGACCCTGCTAGGCCGGTAGCGAGGGTCAGACCGACAGCGCGACTCTTGGTGGCATTTGTCATGTCGATTCTGGAAAGACAGCAATGGCAATGACATGATAACTACCTTGACCTGTATCAACACAAATTGTGCAATTGGAGACTAGCAAAATTCTGAAGCTAGCATTTTGTGCTCATGCACACCGGTAAGGCCACACTGACTTAATTTTATGGATGACGTCCGCGCGCGCATTGATTTTCGCTTGTTTAAAAAAAAAACATCACGTCCACCGAGGCTCTGGCCTGGCTCTAGGCCTGAGTAGTCCATAGTAGTTAGGGGCAATAGGGAGCCAGGCACCCAGGCCACGACTCAAGAACTCAGTATATAGGTACAGTGCCTATTCATAAATTCCGCAAAAAACAGCATGTGCTGTCTTGTCGTATACGTTGCTATGTACTGCCGCGAATTCACAATACCAGCCTTGTATTCCCATGGCTTAGTAGCATTTTTATTTCTAGCCGGAATTTTTTTTTATTCTCCCGCGCGCACTAGTTTGGGGGTCTTCAGAGGACGTCATCCATAAAATTAAGTCGGTGTGGCCTAAGACCTGTTGTTGGGAAACACACCATAACATTCCACCATACATAGCAATAAATGTCTCCAGTCCTGACATTGGAACTTATGTTACTTGAATGACCCCCTCTAACCAGTAGTGGAGAAACAATTATTAGTAATGGCATGCAACATATACATACATCATGTATATTTTGTACAGTTTGGCCCTACAGTACCTGGTAGTGTTCCACCACGTTCAGGAGAGAATCCCTCAGTACCTGGATACTTCCAGCACACCGCTTCATACTCCAATAGAAATGTGTTTTGAGTGGTGCTCCTAAAAGAACAAATGCAAGGCCTAAATCCATGACATTCAAACTGTAATGGGCACCAACACCTCCCCTGATCCGTAGATTTTGAAGCATGGAACAAAAACATCATTCTGAACTATGAGTATGAATATTTCTAATTCATCTGCAAAAGTTTGCTATTTCAAGCCAATTGCCAATACTTTGTAAAGTGTAAGGTTTCATAAATAAGATACATTACTGGACTCAAAATGGTTGAGTAGCACAGTATGTGTATTACATTAGGCCATGTTGATTTGATTATATGGATGACATCCTCCGGGAGCCCCAAAACTGATGCGCGCGTGCGAATAAAAAAAAAGTTTTGCAAAAAAAAAAGTTCTTTTCATTATGAAATCTACGTGGTCATGAGGGTTGAGCAAATGGCACAGAATATGGTTTGGCGAATAATCTAGTCTTCAAGTTTATTTCTTTACAATTTCGTCTTTGTTCGTTTGATTTTGGCATTCTACGACATTGGTATAGTTTTTATTAATTTTTTTTGTAACTTATGGTATATTTTGCTCATTTTGCAATTGTTTTGTACGATTTACAGTATGGTTGAAATCTTTTTTTTTTGAAACGGTCAAAAATTTATGCGCGCGCGGATGTCATCCATATAATCAAATCAACATGACCTTAGCGTTCTCAAACAGGATGGTTACCTTTATCCTGTAGCTGCCCGTGCCAGGTGACCCCGTGGTTCTTCTTTGGGCCACTTGCCAACTTCTTGAACTTCCTGGCAAGTGCCTTTGTAGCTGTATAATCAAGATTGGAGTTAAATATGTATATGTTTGCTATTTTACAGATTAGACGGATGGTGGGATACGTTGTAAATGTACAAGAACAGTTTTCGATGCCTAAGGGTGGACATTGAAAGAAGGTACACATTTATGTACATATATCTCTCACAGGGCTGTATCTGCAGTTCAGAAGTTATTTGTATCTTACTATCGTGCAGAAATACATGTAAAGTGTTGTTCACCATCTAATAGATTCTATGAACATCAAGTCATACGTAATGTAGACTGTCATACCATGCCAGGTGTCGTTTGAGTTTGTAGTCTTGCTGCCATCTCCATAGGCAGGCCTGGCCTTGACAAACTTGTTTATGCTACTGTTGCGATCGTGCGCATGGTCAATCACTTTCAGTCCTGTAACAGTTCAGTTATTAGCATTCAACATTCAAGAAAATTGATGTACAGTTTATTGTCACATGCCTAACATATCACTAGTACAATGTATCATGTTCAATCATAAAAGACTTTTTACAGTAACAAGATGTATTTGCTTCAGATAAACCTGGACTGATGGTAAAGGGTGTTTGCACTTTTTTCTTCTGATTTGAAACAGCTTTACAACATCATCTGTTCTTTCTTTCCCCCAAGGTGGAGATAATACACAGTATACATACCCATCTCATCAAACGTGTTGTACAACTTCACAGTCCCCCTCATCTCATGCTTCTGGCTGGACCTTTCTTCTTCTTTGGTAACCGGGGCGTACGCCAGAACACGATGGTTGCTGTGAGGCAAGGCAGTGAATTGAAGTACAGGTGTGCAGATACACATAAACTTTATGTTCTTGCTACAACCAGAGTAATAAGTGATGTAATTCTAGGGCTAAAATCTGTATTATATCAATTTCATTTCATGAAAAAACGTGATGAGGAAAAACTAATATTTTCAGATTGTATAAAATCCAGCAAGCCATACTGAGGTTGTTTGCAACAGAGTTAGCAACTTGTTCATTATACATTTACATCCAGTAGCTCATATTGTTGAATGTAGTGTAATGCCTTTGACCTTGAACTGGGTTTAGTGACCAAAGGACATAGTGTTAAGTTCTGGAATCCATTGCATAAAAGTATCAATTTGACTCATTAATACAGTAACTGGAGTTTGTTGTACATGTACATGTATATAAGGTGGAGATGTTTTATGCACCATATTTTGCCTATGTGTATGAATAAATCTTGTAGAAGCAAATTACATACGTTTGTCCCAGGGCCAGGATGTCAGACCTGTAACTGTTCTTTCTGTGGGCGTGTCGGGCGTCAGTTGTGATGCATATTCCGTCGCCACCATCTTCTTCAATCTCCTGTTGACAAGGAATAGAATCATGACTGATTGATCTTACATGGAATCATCTTGTGTTATATTTGATTATCTTTACTTTAATATTCAGCTCTGTATTTCAAGTAATACTTCATCCAATGATTCAGAAGCTTTAATTATCAGTACCTAATTGTCATTATTGACCATGTAAGTAACACTGTAACAGCAATTTACGATGTAAGTGATATTAGGAGAAACACAACTTACTTCGTCCCTTGCTATGCCCATCGCCATCTCAGACTTGTGTTGCACTATCTCAGCATACTGTACCAGACCTGTAGATTATTCATTTATTACATTAGTGAATATTTAGACATAAATATATTCACATTAATAGAGCTGTACAATGTATTTCACACTATCTCTTTTGTATCAAATAAGTACTAGTACTATATTTGAATTCATTTGCTTACAAGGCATGGTTTGTTATGGACCCAGGACAGAAAGATCATTTATTTGACTGGCTAATTTATGCACAGTACTTTTAATGTTGTGAAATCATTTGTAGTCTATGTACTGGTTAGGGGTTGTTACTTACATCTCCGCAGGGTGTCGGGAGTCTGCTCCCCAATACCTGCAAAAGTGCAGATTCTCCAGTACTGGTTTGGGAGAATTCCGCTCCCAAAGTACCCACATGCCATTCTGCAAGTTAGAGACAAAGGATCTGTATTGAATGTATATTTTGCTTATGTGTTGCTTCTCGAGCATACAAAAGGTAACTGAATGACACAGTATGCAAGTATGTAATGAGCTGAGTTACCCTCACACAGACACTCACTCACTCACTCACTAACACACACAGACAGACACACACACACATACACACACACATGCAATACACATACACACACACACACATACATACAATACACATACATACACAAACACACACACACACTTAGAAACACACATACATACATATATATACACACACACATACATACAATACACATACAAAAACACACAGTCACACATAGAAACACACACTGACAGACACACACACATACATACAGAGAAACACACACACACACACATACATACATACACAAACACACAAATTATCTAATCTCATACATACCTGTCCCCAAATTTTCAGACACTGAGAAACACACGTATTACATCACCAACAGAAGCCATACTCACGGAGCAATCACTCACCTTAGGTTGACGAGAAATTTTCCCCCGATGTATGGAGAGGATGCCCACTGGTAAGAACACCCTTTAGGGCAGCGGATCTTGCAGATCCCTGCGTGCCCTCGCATGATCACTTGGCGCAGCGTTATTTTTGCGTCGCACTTTGTGTTGTGGGCATGGAGCGTGGCCAGCAGGTGGTGCATCTTATCTTTTGCTACCACGAACAGCTGCTGGTTCTGGCTGTCAGGCGGACACTCCTGGAAGTTGCAGGGTGCGTCGACAACAGACGGCGTCGATGATGGACCGTTTTGGGACAGATAACTGTCCAGCAAAACGGTCATCATGTCCGCCGTCGTTATCTCCGCACCCCCCATGCGCGCCTTGGCGCGCTCGACTTTCTCCAGCATCATTTTCTTCTCCACCTCTCCGTTTGGCCCCGGAAAGAGACACTCGAACGTCTTTCGGATGTTCCTTGTCGTCTCTTTTACCACTCCATTTGAGGCGTGGTAACGCCGTCTCTTAGCTTGTCCCTGGACACCGTTGACAGGGGCAAGAGGTGTACGGGATGGCGGGGCAGCCATCCTCCAGAAACCGGAAAAGAATCTGAATTTTGGCGCACTTTGTGTATGACAAGCATGACTGGATGATGGGAGTTTTATTTTTCTGATGAAATGGAAATAATGTTTGTTGTGATGTATTATTTGTTATGTATAATTGAAACTTATACACCCTTATTGAAGTGAGACCTGTATTGCCTTTATTTTTCTGAAAATACCGTGGAAATTCTAACATATCTGACCTCCATACCTCAACACTATTGGTCGTGTGATGATTCTGGTGACAAGTGTAGCACCAAAGTTGTGAAAGCACAACCTTTGCGGAAGAGCCCTCATTGACTTCCTGTTCCCGCCAATTTTCTGGTTTGCGAAGATGGCGGAAAGACGACATCTGACGCTGTGCCTGACACCAGACAGAGAGGCCGACATTCTGGGATTTATACAGTGGAATGAGTTCGGCGAAGAAGAAGTCTCCATCGTGCAGAGTGTGCCACACACTCCTCACGACGTCAACCCAGCGGCCGCGCAACATGAAGACCAACATGCACCGGCAGATGTGCCCGACGTGCCCGTGCCCGCGCCCGACGATGACGCGCCCGACGATCAGGCCCCGGGCGCAGACGAGCAGCCAGCGCCGGCTGTCCTCATTCCTCAGGCGGAGGGAGTTGAGGAGTGCAGGCACTGCTTTTGCAGGCCTTGCGTGACCACTCCCGAACCCTTGTGGTTAGGGGAACAGCCGGCCTGTGAAGCCAACGCACCCCTCCGCAAGACGAAGTACCGGCAGTTCTGGGCCACCATGGAGAACATGGACCCCAGCCCATGGCGGGACCACCGGTATCTTCAGAAAAAGAACCAGAGGATGCAGGTCGACGGGATGCTGGACCCAACCCATAGGCGACATGTGGTCTTGGCAAGGGAGGTAATGCCAAAATGCGTGCTGAAGCTGGTGCGGCGAAGGTTCCCAAACCCAAGAGGGAAACCCTACATGGGACACCAGTGGTGGTAGGACGGCGAGTACACACCCCGGCCCTTTTCAGGGCCATCATACCCCGGCCCTTTTCAGGGCCATCATACCCCGGCCCTTTTCAGGGCCATCATACCCCGGCCCTTTTCAGGGCCATCACATAACTCAAAAGAGCTGTAACGTACCACATATCCATATGATATATGTAATTGATTTGATGTGATTTATTCACAGTTCATTGTATAATGTCTCCAAAGTAGATGGTGCTTTTGCATTATCACTGACCTAAATTATTTGAATGGTAGCCAAAACGCGTATCGTCACTCGGATAGATCTCCAAGCACGACTCCGTTTATTTGAGAATCGAGATAAGGTAAGTGATTTAGTGTTTCACTTTACTCCTCAAAGCAGTTTGTAAACAGAGAGGTTGAAAACGAATAACTAAAAATTTATTGGCCCCGATGATAGCCCAAGGTCTGTTGTCAGACAGGACTTGAAAAAAGTGAAAGTGAAAACGTTGTACACCCCAACGGGAAATAGCAACTATAAGCATGACTCCGTTTATTTGAGAATCGAGATAAGGTAAGTGATTTCTTAGATACAAAGCGTCGATTTAGTTTTTCACTTTGCTCCTCCACGAACCTCGTGAACAGAGGGGTTGAAAACAAAGAACGTGTGATATAGGTCAGGGGTCACGACCTTTCAACTGTAAACAGGAAGTCATTTGCATTTTGCCGTTAGAATCGGACGTTTGAATATTTGAACTTTGGGGATATTTTGGGCAATTTTGAGATAGTTTTGAGATATACACAAGTACGAAGGTAGTCATTTCTACAAGAATCACACCTCCCAAGCACACGCTTGTGGCAGAATTACAGGTTAGGTTGAGTATCGTAACGTCAGTCATTCATTCAGCACACACCATTTCGCCACAACATTACAGAAGTTTCTCAGGTTTCTTCGCGTAAAGTAACAAGCATATAGTTTCACCATATATATCTGTAAGAAATATGAAATGTATGATGGAGCGAAAGGGGGGATCGTTGCATTTATTGATACGATCGGCCTGTTGGGTCTTGCGCCGGGCGAAGTGTCGCTCTCGTGCTATTTGTACGGCTAAGGTTGCCGATATCGGTCTCAAATTTGCCCAATATATTGTACCAAAATATACGTCAAACTCTATAAGAGTTGGAATATCTCACATCTATCCCTACACATAGCCTTATTGTATGTTGTAGGTATTCAATGATAATCTAAGGCTCTGTATTTGCGTGATATTCCGGCACCTGGTTACCGGCGTGCCCCAGACAATTCCTCGGCGATCGTGACAAGACCGACCGTACACGGAACGTGTCGCGAGCCGGTATGAACGGGTATGAGCAGCTACTGCCCATATTTTACGTCTTGTGGCATTTCTAGACACTATTATATCTACCTACAATCATACACCAAGGTCTGCGAAGTCGTCCAGCACAAAAAAACGCGATGTGTAAGGATCTAACGTTCAGAGCGTTGCTGCCGATCCGTCCAGCACGGATACCAAATGCAAACTGAAGACCGATAGTTTATGTTATCGAATTTATACCGGCAGGGTCGGGTCATTATATAGTATTACTGTCCTCTTTAACAACAGCATGTAGAAGAATCCTTTAATCCATTATGTATTTGATTTTACCTGAGAGAAATCTGAGAGGAGTGGAAAAGGAGAAACAACATTATTTTGGAGAAAAGAGTTTTCAGTCATCGTCTAGATCTGCTTTCACGCGAATCCGCTTCTCAACTTGATGATAATTTTAACGTTACTGTGTAATTTTGTTCAACGTTGTAACAGTTTCTTAACAACGCATATACCTAACATTAATCGATTTTGTCTTCAAATCCCTACATACAATCTGGGGAACACTTAGAGCTATAGTCTCGATGCACGGTGTGCGAACCACCCTTCATCTCTGCATTTGGATCAAATTATTGGAAACCCTTTATTTATCTGTTTTTAAATTAGATAAAGGGTTTCTAATAATTTTCCTAAAAGGGAAAGACGGCGTGAACTGGCCAATTACGAAATTGGACCCTTTTGAGCCTTAACACTACGAGACCCCTGACTCTCTTCGTTCGTCACCCTCGTTTATCTGTCGGTACACAGTATTTAGCTTGTAAGGTCAAAAGATGTTTCAATTATTATCAGACCTCTACACTATTTGTAATATTAGTTTATGAATTTCCTGGGATGAATTGTCTAGAGAGTGGTTTTCCTATCTGTGGCTGAAATCAATGTAGTACTATTTCTCATATACCTTTCCCTGTATGACCTAGGCCAATCCTGCCCAAGGAAGGGCATTTGCCCGGTACGTGGTAGAGAGGACTCAGTTGAACCAGCCTGCAGACTATGCCACGCCACTTCAGCCTGCTGAACCATCCGATCCTCTGGACGACTTTGGCTTGGCAGATATGTCTATCGAGTCGAAGTGACCCAGGTAGAAGGCAAGTCTGCAAATCAAATAAAACCAAACATGTTTTAATTTCAACACACAGGTGGCAGATGCTGACAGCACTGAGGTTGAGTATGGGTTCGGAGAATCCTGCGACGATTGTGGTTTTCGAATATTCGTCAGTCCGGAAGATCTAGACAAGACCCACAGAAACATTCGAGAGACTCTAGATCGTCAGTGTATGACTTGTGGCGACCGAAATGCACTGTTTTTGTGACAAACCTCTTGGAAACTCAAATTTACATGTTATAGAAACCTCCTTGGCTTTTGTGATCAAATACTATGTAGATCTCGTCATAGTGAAACTTTCATCAAACACTGATTCCTGTTTACAAGATAACCCCACAACAACAACCACCCACGGCGCTAGGGCCAGTCGGTAACTCCCGACGAGGGGTCTGTCACTACCAGGCACAGTGTCCACTCTAGGACCCGCTGGGACAGAAACAGATGGGAGAGTAGCTCCCCAGGAGCATGTAGATAAAAATGTAAATGAAGCAGTATTGGCCAAAGAGAAAATACAGGCCCTTGAAATGGAACTTTCTTCAATGAAGGAAAGAACATCTGAGTTAGCGGCTCAGCTTGCTCAGCAGTCAAAAACCATAGATGGTTTAAAAGAAGAGAATACTGATTTGTTAAATAAGGTACTGGCCGTGAAGGTCCA